GGGCAACCCTGTGTTAAATATCCCCGTGAACCCTAACCTCGCCAAAGCCTCGGGGGTTGATGTCACAGTAGGCTCATATTGGATGGATCTTTCCCTGAAGATCAGCTATGGATACTACACAGCCTCCACGCTCACCAGTGACGCGAACTTAGATTCTATTGGAATGCAAGGTGAACAACAGTACGGAATTCTTGAAATTATAAGCCTAACAGGAACTTCTTCTGTCAATGACATTGTTCTACGTTTGTTTAATCCTTTCGAGGAGTTTAAGTACAAGGGACCGTATAATAGCGGGGACAAAGCTTGGACAGATAAACAACGGGTCAAGTACGAAGTCGATGATCCACACTCCATTTTCTTGCCGTTGAATATGTTCATGCAAATCATGAACTCGTTTCAGCTTTGTTGTATGGCGGTGGAACCTCAGGCAACATACTACAGGGATGAATGGCGTGGCGAGACGGCCGGTGGCAATCCGTCAAATGTGACGTGGCGTAAAAACCCCCTCTATTTAGTTCAAAACACAGGCTCAACTGATGCAGAGATTGTGGTTTCAATCAAGCAAAACGATCAGCGTCGTTTAATATTAAATGACGATCAACTCGATTACGTCCAATGCGGCCTTATGCTTCTCCATTATACTTACCGTAATCCAATTCCTACCATCTGGGTAACTGGTAATAATCATAAGCCGATCCATAAAAGCCTGTTCTTCAACTCACGTGAGGTGTCGCATCGCCTTACGATTCCATCTCATGTGTTGTGCTACATAGTGCCTTCAGCGATGCGGAAGGGCGTGGAGGCAGAGTTCTTGCTGGCAGTACACACCATGACCAACTCGGACTGTGATGATTTGGTCATCCAAAAGCTAGACCTTCCTGAGCTCAATTGGGGAGGACGGGTAAAGAAAGACGTAGTGCTGCATCAGAAGGAAAAGGATCGCATAGACTTTTATGTCGATTCTGAGACTGACATTCATATCCTCTTGTGTCAATTGAAATTATACGTAAACCCCCAAACAGGCGGTGATTCCATGACCGAGGACTATATGGGG